GTGATACAGCGAAACAGTCTGTCTGCGGATGACAATATATATATATTAAGAAATGGACAAAGTCCGACAATTTATTTATTAAAGACATTTTTATGTTTAACGTTCTTTTTTATAGATACAAGTATTTAAGTAAATGCTCTGTTTATAATAAACAGTATTAAATAACATTTACCGGCCTGAATGTCCGAGAAATTTTCATAGAAAATATTCGTCCTTTGACAGGATTCGAACCTGCATCCTATACGGAACCGTCATTTACGCTGACGTGCCTAACCTCTCGGTCACAAAGAAGCGTTCGGTAGGCAAGGTCGAATTTACTGCTTATAAACTTCAATCTTCCATGAATCTCGTACATTCATAACTGCTCTGGCGTATCAAATGTAAACAAATGACGTCATATATTAAGAAATGGACAAAGTCCGACAATTTAAATTTGAATTTGACAATTTAAATTTAAATTTGACAATTTGAAGTTTATAAGATAGTTCACTAAGATAGCTATTGGGAATGAAAGAGAATGAAAAAATCGAAGCCCAATCTTAAGTAGAGAACAAGGTATAAGCCTCTACTTCTGTTCCAAAGACCGATGAGGAGTCTCCCCTGTTTCACACCCCATCCCCGGTCTTCCAGTAAGCCCCTGCATCTTAGAATAGTGTAGGTTTTCAGTGTGTTTCTATGTGAGGAATACCATTCAGCTAGGAATACCATTCAGTTGACTTTTGTATACAAGTAGAGAAAAGTAGAATGTTGCTATAAATTTTGCCCTTGGCGTTCTACCAATATGGCGTCTACCTGTGCAGATTTACGCGGCGAAGTGCTTCGCTCGCTATTGTCTTTTTTATTAGCCAATAAAAGTTTTAACCAGCGCTCTTTCGCTTAGAATGTATGTGTATTGTTCCTGATTTCAAATTAGCTGGAATTCGACGATGCAGGCCAATGGTGCAAGCAGAGAGACAGAGAAAGACAATGTTTCGGAACTTGAAAATGCAAATGGATTCCCCAATCCAAGCAAGGCGATCGTATATCGGCATTGTAAACAAGAAAAACTTTGTCAGTGGATATCGTAAATCTAGCAGACCAAATTATTTATTGTAATGTTCTTTCGAGATATATGGCTTTCCACACATTTCTTTATTATCTGTGAATTGTTATGGCTTCTTGGGAAAGATATTGGATGGGTTTGCGATATGGTTTTAAATTCAGAATATTCCTTTTCATAAACTGGTTCTTAACCAAGGCTATAGAGTTCAGTAAACCATTTGACCAGTAGCTGGAGAGGGGGAAATAATGGATTCATGCCTTCCCCATTTGTGAGAAATTGGGCGAACAGTGCTTCAAAGGATGTCGTTGAGTGCACCGACATAAACAGGTAGTGAGTTGCTGAATTTAGGCTATTTGCATACGAAGGGACAGGATGACCCGTAGTTGTATAATGGCTCGATTCTCGAGAAGAGTAGGAAAGATCCTCGCGAAAAGAAGACCGAATGTTCGAAGAAAGTCCCCGAAACAATATACGCTCCACGGTCGACGTTAATTAGACGGAGCAAACGAATAATTACTTTACACATGAAAAATTTTGTCTCGTAGACAGAGTTCAAAAGAGTTTGCGCGTCCTTGTTGGCGATGAATTATTCTCCACACAACAACCCCTCTCCCACGGGCCCAACGTTGCAAGCTACTCTACTGCTATTTCCACGGAAAGTGTTTTGATGAGCTCCACTAGATCAGGCATTTACAACTCAGACCCGCCATGCCCTGTAGACAGACTCGAACCTTCCCCACACCTTTCGTATTCTATTGGTAAGAAGGAGTTTCCATTCAGACAGCTTCTTCCCAAGAGCCGGTGCTTCCTCAAATACTACAAATGTAACCAAAGGTCAAAGTTCAACCTATCGTACTTATTCTCATAATCTGTTATTTACTTTCCTCTCTACGTCCATACAGCAACCACATTTAATAACTCTCTACATTGAGTGGCTCTGGGGTCTTGTGCTGTGTGTGAATTTATTCATTAAACGATACTAGCATAACATTTCATAATAAAGAGTGGGAACCCATCAATACTGGCGCAGTCGGAACAATTCGAAAGATTTTGCAGAAAGCTTAGAGGAATAGGGAAATCGAGACTGGATCGCAAGTAAGAACATAATAAATTATAAGAATCATTTTAAATATTGATACAATATAGATAAAATAATAAAATTTTGATAAAATATAGATAAAATATTAATAAAATATTAATAAAATATTGATAAAATAATTAAATATTGATAAAATATAGATTAAATAGTGATAAAATATGAATAAAATATTGACAGAATATCGATAATAGTAATAAAATATAGGTAAAAGATAAAATATAGATAAAATATTATTAAAATATTGATGAAATAATGGTAAAATATAGAAAAATAATTTAAAACTGTGACGACGACAACGGAGAACAACTCCATTCTCTTTTCTAAGAAACCACAACAATTCACAGATAACAAAGAAAAGTGTGGAGAGTCGTGATCGCCTCAAGAGACGTAAAGTTTCTGAAGAAATTAGCATTAAATTGAATTTTTGCATATCAGCGAATATTTGTTTACAAGTTTAAGACGTTCATTGCAAGGCTCTTTACAGCGCAATTGAAATGAATATATACAGCTTAATAAAAATATTTTTAATTTGGGATACAATTCTTTTTATAAGGAAATTAATGCTCACCTTGCTTGTTAGGAATGCTTGCATCAGACATATTGCATACTTGGCCACACGTTTGGAATCTAGTTTCAGGTTTAATCGAGGAATAAATTATGCAGTAAAATGTACTTTTTCGTAGTTAATAAAATAAGCATTGATGTAACATCACCATAATAATAAAAGTACATTTGTATATTATAGCTCTTAATTACATATGTTTGTACTGTACTATAAGTTAAACGTATACCTAAGCATCACCATATAATTGCCAGCGTGATCGTTAAATTTTGGCTTTTGAGCCGACTGCATGCGTACCAGGTATTATCGTTATTTCCATGTTCTGACCAACTACATTTATTAGTTCCACCAGTTCAGACCTTCACAGCTAAAACCCGATATGCCACGTCTACAGACACGAATCATCACCATTCCCTTCATATTTTATTAGCAATAAACAAGTTCTATTTGGTCTGTTTCGTTTCCAAGAGCCGCGACTTTTTCGGAGTCTGTTACGGTTCTGATCTAAATTAATTTTAAAAGGTTAAAATTAATACTAATTTTACCTACTCTGTTATTAAGTAATCTGGAAAAAAAGAAAAAAAAAGAAAACAATATAAGAACATTAAAAAATAATTATTATTTTACCGAAAATACCGAAAAAAGTACGCACAAAATCATCATGTTAAAACTGTGAATAGACTTCCTTTCCAAACTCAAAAAGTATATTCGTATTGCATTTATGATATTTACACAAGGTAAATAATATATTCGGAAATTTTAAGGAATTTACTATAAATGCTCTTACATACATGCAGGGAAAAAAAGAATCTATTTAATATAACCGCCATCAGCTTCGATTACGGCCTAAACGCGACTTCGAAAACGATTACAAATCTATGATACGCCCCCCCCCACTCTACTACATCTTAATTTTCATAAAGTAGTATTTATATAAAATACAAATTTTATTGTAACCTAATTATGTACAATAATGGACAATATGCAATATAGGTGAACAATTCAACTAGAAAAATTGAAAATATATAATGTATGTAACTAAATGCAAATTAGAGACATGTCATAATAGATCATTCCATCATTACATTTATATGCGCATCGTAATCTGCGTATTACTTAATTGTATACTGATTTATTGGTTTTGATGTGTTGTTTGTTTTATTTAATTTTTCTTATTTGTTTATTTATTCTTATTTGTTTTTTTGTTTTCGATTTTTAAGTAACAGTAAAAATTTGTTTTCGTGTCTGCATTTTGAGATGAGTTCTGATTGTTAATTTAGCAATTTGTGTTGGTCTGGGAAGGTATTTATAGCTATCTTCTCCTCTAGTCAGATTTTACACTTTTTAGATTTATTGTTGTAGGCTGATGCTGTTTTCCTTATTTTCCATGATATTTTTGGTTTGTTATATATATATTATGCGTGTGTGCGTGTGTATTAGGGCTGACGAAAGGGTCTCGTCCCCCACAATCTATGATATGGGCCCCTCATGTCTACTACATCTTAATTTTCATAAGGTAGTATTCATACAAAATACAAATTTTATTGTAACCTTATTATGTGCAATAATGGATCATATGCAATATAGGTGAACAATTGAACTAGACAAATTCAAAATTAATACAATGTATCTAACTACAAATTAGAGATCATTGCATCTTAAATAAATCAACAATGTTTTGCGGCAATACTTAACATCAACATGAGATTGTTCGTATTAAAAAGTTGATTAATTTAATACATTCAACATTATGGATGGAAACTGTGAATTTTATATAGTGTTTTGTTTCTTCGAGACTTAGCATGAGCAAAAGAATTTCATGGATTTAAACAAAAAAAAAAAGAAAAAAAAAAGACCCCCAGAATGACGTCAAAATCCGAGATAAAATTTTTCATCCAGTTGTGCTTAGTTTAATTTGTCAAGTAGGTAGAAATAAGCACGTGTTGATAAGATAGTGAGGGTCACAAAACACTACTCGGAGCCCTCAATCAGGCTTGCAAAGATCAGAGTGTTCCGGGGTAGTACTGTTCTCTACTTATAATGGCTGGCGGTGGCTGATGTTTGACGTGTACCCCACCCATATGATTTCTGACTCCGACATGTGGAGCTGAGTGACACTGGCCCTCATTGATTTGGCGGGTTTCTAGTCGATGGTATTCTGATTTCTTCAGGACGAATTCTACATTTTGACAATGTCTGAACGTCGAGAATATCTTTTGTTTTTTTCTTTTTGCCATTGAAGATACATTCTAACAGAGACCTGAACCTCTATTCTTATCGTAAACATCAAGTGGGTTTACAGCCATATCGCGTGGAAACACCGGCTCTTGTACGATCACCGAAGTTAAGTAACGTCAAACCTGGTCAATACAATGATGGGTGACCGCTTGAAAATATCAGGTGCTGTTGGTGTAATGGATAAAGGCTCGAAATTGGAAATCAGAGAGTCGAGTTCCAATTCCAGTTGGGTTCGTTATATTCATTTACGCGCAAATACCATTGGGAAAAGGAATGAATCCACATATTTTCCCAAGCTATGGATTAATTAGCATTGGTTTTATCAGTAAATTCATTATTATCTCTAAAAGATTATTAAAACCTAGAAATATTTTTCTGGCTTTAAACAACCTGCAAAGAGGGTGATAAATCGTAAAAAACAAATCAAAGCAATTCAATCTGAATACGAAGGACCGAACGACATTTATGAAGGCTGCAATTTTCCGACTAAAGCAACGATACGCCTGTTCATCTTCAAGTCGAAGTTTTCAAGTGGGTGTGGGGGGGCTGAAAAATGAGATATGGTCAGTTATGAATTTCTAATGATGTATTCTCAAATACCTCACGGACACTGTACGTACTCATGTGCGTGTCGATATTTTCCCGTTAAAGGTACCATCGATAGGCTCTGAATTGGCCTTGACGCCTCAAAAGCACCTCAAATATACTCTGGTGTAGTTTCAATTTATTCTCGCACCTGGACCTTTCTTCCGGCTTCTTGCTTCTCAGCCAACTTTGATTTTCAAAATCTAAATGCAATGCCAGTCGTTATTTGGTCTCCTTAATTCCTATTCGTTTGCCGTACTCTCCCCTTTCTTTTTCTCATATAGACTTAGTAACCCATCTTGCGTCGTAGTGACTTTATTGTCTTGCTTGGGTGAAATTCACTTGGAATAAAATGAGAAAAATACCTAAGACAATTCTGTGGATTTTATTTTTGTTTATCGCTGAACAAAAATACATTTCGTATCCAGTGAAATTCTGATGTTTTTTTTTTTCAGTGTCCGTTTTCTCAATATCTGTCTATATCTCTGAGATGATGCAATATGATTACTTGCATTATTTAAATTATTCGGACTGTTATCCTCATCTTCATTGCCATATTCACAAGGACACATGGCCCAGTGGATAAAGACGTTGGTTAGATCCAGTGACTAGCTTCTAGTGATATAATGTCTGTCTATATCTATGAGATGAGGTCTTATGATTATTTACATTATTCGGACTGTTATCCTCATCTTCATTGCCATATTCACAAGGACACATTGCCCAGTGGATGGAAACTTTGGTTAGATCCAGTGACTAGCTTCTAGTGATATAATGGCTGTCTATCGGCTGAAACATTGTGAATATGGCAATGAAGATGTGGATAATCATAATACCTCATCCCATTATATCACTAAAAGTTAATCATTGGATCTAATGAATGTCTTTATCCACTTGGCCATATAAACTTGTGAATATGGCAATGAAGATGAGGATAACAGTTCGAATATTGTAAATAATGCAAGTAATCATAAGACCTCATCTCAGATATATAGACAGCCATTATAACACTAGATCTAACCAATGTCTCTATCTACTGTGCCATGTCCTTGTGAATATGGCAATAAAGATGAGGATAACAGTTCGAATATTGTAAAGACAGAGACGCAACTGGAAGATGATAAACCCTACACGGCATATATGTGCCAGGTAAGACGATCTACTCCCTCCTCCCGAGTCAGATTGTGACACAAGGTCAGTTTTTAACGTGGGGATCCGATTGTTTTCACTCCGGCAGTTGGTCTAAGCTGGTCTTAGCTGGTCATAGCTTGTCCGAGCTGGTCAGAGTTCGTCTAAGCTAGTCATAGCTGGTTTTAGCTGGTCATAGCTTGTCCAGGCTGGTCAGAGTTCGTCTAAGCTAGTCATAGCTATTCTTAGCTGGTTATAGCTTGTTCAAGCTAGTCAGAGCTCGTCTATGCTAGTCAAAGCTGGTCTTAGCTGGTCTTAGCTAGTCATAGCCTGCCCAAGCCTATCAGAGCTTGACCAAGCCAGTCATAGGCGTGATACCACCTGAGTCAGGGGCGTATCCCTGTGCCAGGTAAGTATAACAAAACTTCAGTAGTGGATCGCCTTAAACTAGAACACACTACACTATTTACATTATTCGGACTATTGTCCTCATCTTTGTTACCATATTTATCACAACGTTTCGGCCGATAGAATCTAGTCACTTGATCTAACCAACGTCTTTATCCACTGGGCCATGTGTCCTTGTGAATATGGCAATGGAGATGAGGATAACAGTCCGAATAATGTAAATAATGCAAGTAATCATAATACCTCATCTCAGAGATAAAGACAGCCATTATATCACTAGAAGCTAGTCACTTGATCTAACCAACGTCTTTATCCACTGGGCCATGTGTCCTTGTGAATATGGCAATGGAGATGAGGATAACAGTCCGAATAATGTAAATAATGCAAGTAATCATAATACCTCATCTCAGAGATATAGACAGCCATTATATCACTAGAAACTAGTCACTGGATCTAACCAACGTCTTTATCCAATGGGCCATGTGTCCTTGTGAATATGGCAATGAAGATGAGGATAACAGTTCGAATAATGTAAATAATATAAATAATCATAATACCTCATCTCAGAGATATAGACAGCCATTATATCACTAGAAGCTAGTCACTGGATCTAACCAACGTCTTTATCCAATGGGCCATGTGTCCTTGTGAATATGGCAATGAAGATGAGGATAACAGTCCGAATAATGTAAATAATACAAGTAATCATAATACCTCATCTCAGAGATATCGACAGCCATTATATCACTAGAAGCTAGTCACTGGATCTAACCAACGTCTTTATCCACTGGGCCATGTGTCCTTGTGAATATGGCAATGAAGATGAGGATAACAGTTCGAATATTGTAAATAATATAATTTCTATTTTCTTTGGGCTAAATTTTATTTTTTGGCATTGGAACTAACAACCATTTTCCCTTCCATTTATGAAGTTCTTCAAGAAGTTGATTTTTGGTGAACGGGTGGTAAATCAGTCCTATTGTCCGTTCAACAGTGCTGTCTGCGGTATATTGAAACGACCTTAACCTTTTACAGTCTCTTTCATATATGTCACACTCCTCATACATTATAATGAGTTTAACAATAACACCCCACCTTGAAGTGCTCCGGAACTTTACATTGGCTGAATTTTTAGGATACAAAAAAAAACTGTGTTCATCTCCTTTAAAATCGTCTTTTACTGTGTAATGGTTTTTTGTTATTGTCCAATAGACATAAGAAGCACATATTTTTTGTATATCCCAGTTGCAGTCCCAGAATGTGAGAAATAACCTTTAGGTTACCAGAAATCTTCAAGTTTTAAACGGAGTCATTAACTCCTTTCAGAATCAACTCATGCGTTTCTTTCATGCCGGCAACGTCGCCGACAGGAATAGAAGTTTTCTTTTCGTTGCCATTGTGTAACAAAACAGCTCTGAGGTTAACATTACTCGAGTCGAGAAACACTTTCCAGTCGTGAGCCATATGTTCGTACCCTGGGTTGTGCTTCACTGCATTAACATCTATACAGAAGTAAGTATTTTCTTTTCTTTTCTTTTTTTCTTTTCTTTTCTTTTCTTTTCTTTTCTTTTTAGTTTCCAACGTCAGCGAAATATTTATGGCGTGTGCGGAAAGGTGTCTGGGTGATTCACACAGTTTCTTCTATTCATAACCTACAAGTTTAATGGAGAAATCACACTGACAAACAGCTACAGAAACCCTCACGTAACGGCGTGCCAAATGACATTCAAAGATACTAAGAAAAATCCCAGTATAACAACAAAAGGGAACTGCGATAATTATTACATTAAATTATTTACGTTTTATATTAACAATTTACAATCGCCTGATTTATTTATATATCTTATGTTATATATCAAGTATATTATTTACTTATATATTATATATTAAATATATATATATATATATATATATATATATATATATATATATATATATATATATATATTATATATATATATATATATATATTTATTATATATATATGTGTGTGTGTGTGTGTGTGTGAAAAAATATATAGAAAATAGGAAAGAAATATATATAAATATATAATAAATATATATATAATAAATATATATGTATATATATATATGCGTGTGTGTGTGTGTGTGTGTGTGTGTGTGTGTATGTGAAAAATATATAGAAAATAGGAAAGAACTCGTTAGTTAAATAATCCAAAGTTCTTTAGTATTTTTGTTATTATTTTAAAAAAATAGTGCTCGATACAAAAGTAGAGCATAAATAAAATTATTTATTTAAAAATATGATTCCAACACTACATAAGAGTTCTCATGTTAAAAAAAATCGCTTGAAGATGGAACAGAGCTTAGTACTTTAATTCAATTTAATTCAAATAATTATATTGAAGTTTTCAGCTCTTGTTTTGAAACATGAGAACTCTTATGTAGCGTTGGAATCATATTTTTAAATAAATAATTATATATATATATATATATATATACATATATATATATATATTATATGTGATTATAATATATATTATATATATATGATTTATTTATATATATTATATTATATATTATACATATTATTTACATATTAATATATTATATTATATATATATATATATATATGTATTATATTAACAATTTACAATCGCCTGATTTATATATATCTTATGTTATATATTAAATATATTATTTATTTATATATTATATATTAAATATATTATATATATATATATTATATTATATTATATATTATATATTATATGCGATTATAATATATATTATATATATGATTTATTTATATATATTATATATTATGCATATTATTTATTTACATATATTATATATTACATTATATATATATATATATATATATATATATATATATATATAAATATATATATATATATATATATATTAACAGTTTCCAATCGCCGGAAGAGATGCGTTGTATACGCATCGAAACACGACTGCAATTGTGTAGCGATTTTGACATGATGTAATATCCTAAAATAAAGAATATTACTCTACGTTTAAGAGTTGTCAGTTCGATACTTGGTTAAGGCAGTGGAAAACTTGGA